TCCCTGCTGACTGCAGGGGGGTTGGACTCGATGACCTCTAGTGGTCCCTTCCAACCCAAAACATTCTATGATTCTATGATTCTATGATTCTATAAACAAAAATAATCAAATTAATTTCTTGAAATAATTTTTGAAACACAAAGCACTTAGTTTGAGTAATCACATTGAAAACAACTCCATGCAGTTGATGGTAATTTTTTCCTCTTTAGAATAAGATTTTCCTATCAAATTCCAGTCTAAGTTCAGAGAATCCAAGTTGTACACTACCAGTTGTTACCTTTCCCCTATTTTGTACACACTTCTGGTACAGAGCTCTGATGAAGAAAAGTTGAATACTTGTATATTATTTTAATTTGTATTACTCTGCAAATAGCATGATTTTTTTAGCTTCCTTTTATCCCTTGAAATACATTATGTCCATTTATACTGTCATTCATATAGTGACTGATATTGTGACAGAAATACTGAACAGAAGAGCTAAGTCAAAATAATTTCAAAGTGACTTTATACCTTCTTCGTCAGTCCTGCTCCAAAGCAGGATAAAATTAATACCCTTTTTTTTCTGCCTTATTTATTCTGAAAATAATTAGAGGTGTAGTTTTAACCAATGTACACACATATCCAAAAGCTAAACTTGTAAATGTATCCTCTGTATTTGCATATAAGCCATACACCATTTTTAGATCTGAAAAATTGTTCCAAGCTTTATTTCTCTCCAAGACACTTTCGGTACAGAGCTCTGCATGAACGATGGGATGAGAGCTGCCTGCTTTCTGAATGTACCAGTCAGTGTGGTGAAAAAGGAACACTGAGGATGATGTGATGTGGACTCAACATTTACTGGCATTTATTCAGGATGACCTGCCTGAGTCAGCATGGCCTCACCAGCCCTAAAAACACTCAATTCTGCTCATGAGTAATGTCCCAACCCAAGAAAATCTTTTAGCACCACACCCAGCTGTGTACGCTTCCTCTGCATAGACACAGGTCTCTGGGTGAATCAGGAGTTCTTCCCTGGGTTCTAACCACCACTGGCCGAAAATACATAATAGGTTCAACCATATTAGGTCAAAGACGTATAAACAAACCCTTTTAGGCCACGGAAATAAACTCTTTTTCATAGAACATACTTCCTTCAAGGTTTACTGTCTTTATACCCATCTTCAAAACCCTGAGGCAGCTGCTTTCCCTGTCTGGGTAGGTAGAAGTTGAAAAATCAGCTAGACTCATCTGTTGTACCTCTACTTCACACCAAATTTGCTCTAATTGCAGATAGATGTCAAAATGAGTAATATTTCTAAAGTCAAAAAGAAAAAAAGATTGGAAGTACCCGAAATTCTGCTGTGAACCATAAGCCATTCCTGCGAAATACTGCTTAATCAAGTCCCTGCTACACTAAGTAATCGTTACCATATAGCTGTACATAGAGCGCTTGAAAATAACATAGATGTTGTAGAGGTATTTGTAGGTATGACAACTATATTGGGAAAGGACTGTCCAGTTTCGCTAAACCCTCAAGGATTCTGCAGTTGTCATGGGAGCGATTTGAGCAAAGAGCATCCCCATGTTAGAAGACAGATACTCCCGATAAGATGGATATCTGGAATGTATGCAGTCTGTTTAAGAAAGCTTCTCCTCTATCCAATACTACCAAGTTTTTTTGCCGGTCAGAGCTTTTATAGTAACATTGTCTTCATGAGAATGCTCTCCTAGAGCTATTCTGAACTAAACGCAGCAGGCATGAGTACAGAAAATGAGTACCATACAGAACAGAGGTGGCTTTTGTGTCTGTAAAGGTTTAAAAGGCCTCTGTGATGAACTCCAAAGAAGCCATATAGGCTCACCTTGTATCTGAAGAAGATGAAAATGCCACTAATACAAAGAAAGAGGAAGCAAGAACATACCTGGGAAGAGATTTACATCAAGTCTTCAGTCTCATGGATGAAGCGGCTGAGATCTTCTGGGTTGGTTATCTGTTTTGAAAAGCCAGTGTCTCCTGAACAGTGGGCCAGCTCTTGCCTCTCCATCCTCCACACTGTGTATGTTGTCTGCACATATTTAAATTGTGTATTAAGTCTCTGCAGACATTTCCCCTCTATTACATTAATTATGACAGGAAAATTGGTGTGCTGTCATAACACTAGCCATCCCACTCTTCAGGAACACAGTGTCTGTGGGTACTAGGCTTTCCCTGTGTTAGGTGAAAGACAAAGTTTATATCCCGCATGTCTGCTAAGAGAGGGATGCTCAAAATGAGAAAACATGTGAAGTCCTGCGGGGGAGAGACATTGGAAGAGCAGAATGACTTTTTCATGTGACCACCTTAGGCAAAGAAACAAAAATGGTTTTCAAAAGAAAAAAAAAAATCAAAAGGGAAAGGAAATAAAGGCCTTCTCACAGACCTCTCTAATATTCTATGTATATGAAATGTTAACTTCCCACCTGGCGTTATTAAATGCTAGGCAGAAGCCATTACACAAAAATGAATGCAGCTTTATGTTCTGCACCTCCAAATTTCAGTTATAAAAGTGTCTCATTTAGACTCAAAGGAAATTATTTTCTTTTAAATCAAGACAACTGAATTCAAGTCTCATGTTTTCAAGCTGATAGTGGGATATGATTCTGGTTTAAAATTTGCCACAAGATCACAAGAAAAATGGGAGATTTTTCTGCCACCAAACAATTCCACACCTAAACCCTTTTTTTCCCCAAGAAAATTTAGGTGCTGGGAACAAAATAACAGTTTTAAAGATTTTTTTTTTCTTTTCCTCTGTCAATAAGGTAAATAACATCAAAATATAATTATAAAAAGATAGTAATGGTGGGAGTCTGTCACAAAACTCACAGCCTGTTTTTTTTTTTTTTTTTTTTTTTTCACCCCCAGTCTGGTGGGCCCCTCACTACACATAGGAGCAAAATGGGAGTATCTATCTCCACCAAATTCACTCTGCACAACCTTTGATGCCTCCTCCCCTTTCTGGGCATTTTCAATGAAGAAGTGTTTTGGAACCAGCTCTCCTTCACTAGCAGGTAGACCCCTTTGTTAAAATAATAATTTTTGTGGGAACCTCCTGTTAAAATACCGGCAGCAAATAATTTATTCTCCATTCTAAGAAGCTTTACAAGGATACAAAGCTTTACAAGGGCATCAAGACGGTTTCCCCCTTCACACACCAAAATAACATGCTTTTACTGCTGCTTCAAATCTCATTAATTGGTTGGTTTCCTTTTACTTTCCGACTTTCTCTTCAGGGACAGTATTCTTGCCATTTAGTAACTGTATAGTTTTAATGACCATACCACAGATGGTGCATACCCAGAATATAGATAACCACATTTTTGGAGACTGCATCATTCTCATACGGAAGAAGGAGCCAAAATCATGACGAGTGAGGAAACTATTTTGCATCGTTTTCTGGAAAACCCTGAAAAAAATCCCATTTTAAGAAGATCTGTAGCTTAAAAATGAAAAAAATGCAAAATAGTCTAGATGAAAATAACTTATTCGCATCTAGTCAGATGTAAGTATTTTAGATTAGATTGCAGTTTTATTGCTGCCTCAGTGGGGGGAAATCCCCATGCCTGTAAAAGGCCCACATGAAGTGCTAGTCTATTGCCCACAGGACTCAGGTTATGTATTTCTGAATAAAATAATACTGCTTTAAGTAATAACTGTTTGAAAATCCTATTGCAGCAAACATCCTAACACTTTGACTGTATTAGAAGAATAACAACCCCCCCCCAAAATTCTTACTCTTGGGATGCTGGTCCTACTCCTCCCCTGTAAGCAATTAATACCGAATTAAAACCGGAAAGTGCCTGACGACCTAGTGAGCCACCTCAGGCCCTGGCCCTGCCTGCAGCTCCCCAGTGCCCATGGTGCTTCCCGCCATGACAGCCTGCCCTCACCTCAGCTTCCCACCATGGATGGGCCAGCCTTACAGCTCCTCTGATTGGCCAGCGGCAGACAGGCGCACACTCTGATTGGCTGTGCGCCTCGCCAGCGAGGGTGATAGGCTGGGCCTAGCTCCCGCCTCCACTGAGCAGAGGCCTGGTGCCTGGGTGTGACGCAGCCAGGCAGAACTAACCCTCAGTAATACAAATAGCTCTGTTCCAGAAAATCTGGGCCTGCGGAACCAAAACATGCAACTTCGTAAGACAGAGAGAGCAGATAAGAATCTTAAAAAGCGGCCTGAACTCTGAAGAAAGCTGACCACAAGAACAGCGCTGTACAGAAAAATGTTTATTGAGAGTGTTGTTGCATTGGAATTGTTACCATTTCATCAGCAAAAGCTGTGGCAAAAGAAACATGTCGTTATTGTCTTCCTGTCACGAAATCCGGTCCGTATGTCAGCACTGGTTTCTCAGCTGGTTGCTCAGTTCCTGAAGTTTAGCAATCATGTTGTCCATAGTTGTCACCTCATCCGCTATCTCACTGTGAACCTCATTACTTGTCACATCTACGTAAAGTTGCTGCGTGACAAAAAGAAGTAATGTTATTTTAAAATATACATACAGTATTCTGTTTCAGCATAGAGACAATACTAGGTGAGCCTGCTTTAGCAGGGGGGTTGGACTAGATGATCTCCTGAGGTCCCTTCCAACCCTTACGATTCTGTGATTCTGTGTAATACAGAAAGCTCATCACCACTATCCCGCCTTTCGTATTTTTGGTACCTATGATGGTATCTCTCTCTTTAAAAAACTCCATTTTGTGACTAATAAACAGAAGGTGCACCTATATCTATAAATAAATAAAAATACATAAAAAAATAGGTATACACACACACATATATAGATGTGTGGTCTGCGCCACACACCTGATACTTTGCTAAAGGGGCCGAATCCTCCCATGGATGTTGGGTTTCTGCTCTGACTTGACTTCCTGTGCTGACTCCTGATCCCATCGAAAGTGAAGGACTTTACCATGAAAACTCAAATTAGAAGAGCATCTCACATACTGTCACTGCAGTTTACAAACCCACCTGCTGATAAATTAGTAGCTGTCATTTTAATGGCAATTTTTCCCAGTGTCATATTCTGTAGTGTCATTTTCTCCAACCCCCCAAATAAACATCTTTTAATATTTGGTGTCAAGACATTCGTGGGCAGAGACATTAATCTGTGTTCAATTAAGTTATACAAGAGAAACCAAAACACTACAGGGTAATACAAATAGTTTGTTCTTAAAGATCTGAAGACATTGATAGCAATGTCTTGTCTAAAGGCTTGAGATACGCAAGCTCTGACTTTGCGCACGCTGCACCAGAACACGTCGCTATTGCAAGGCCAGGACCTGTCATTTGACTCAAGTAATATGGAGGCTGGGCGAGGTACCAGTCCACAGAAATATGGTGGTGGTGGGACCCAAACACATGTTTCCCCTTTATTATGTAAAAGGAGAGTGATTCACACTTCATTTGACACAAACAAAAAGGCTACATTTAGAGAAAAAAACAAACCCAAGAAAACAAAAGTTGCTCTGGAGTACATCTGTACATCATTATATCATCGAAACATAACGGGACAGTACAGATACGTATATAAACAAAAATGTACTTAAAAGGCCTGAACCAAGGTCTTCAATGTGCCTCAGAACAGTGTCGTCACTGAACAAAGGAACATCTTACACAAAAATAGGAACATGTTCCTGCTACAAGTACAGCAATTTTTCTGACTTTCAGCCCAAAAACCTCACACTGGGAATGTGACAGAAAAGTTTGGTTCTTTCTGGCTAAGACAGCTAAATAAATCAGGATGATATAATTATTGTTCTTTTTTTTTTCCCCGCCACGGTTAAAGAGATCTATTCAACTAGATGCAGCCTGGAGAAGTTTCACGCACCATCATCCTTTGGGCTTTGTGCCCCATGTTTCCCCACAATCGTACGGACGTTTAATGCATTTACGATGCAGCTCCATGACCTTTCTCCTTTTCGGAGACCCCACCTGTCAGATCCGAATGATGCATGGGGGGCAAGGAGCAGAAGAGAGCCGACTACGCTATTTGCCAGGGCGTGTGACTGCCTGGAAGGCTCTGTATAGAAAGGAGCCCATTAACAACACATTTTCGAGTTGCAGCCTTCAGCAGAGTGTGGGGGCTTCATGAGTCCAGCACAACACAGGAGCTGCAATGTTAAGAGATTGAGATCCCCAGAAAGGTGAGAAGTCTGAGAAGTAACATTGTTTCACCTGTACCAAAATTACTGATTTGTTCCAATTGCATGTCCTGATGATGAAACTTTCATATTTTATCTTTTAAAAGTTACTTTCACTGTTCCTTTATTCCTTCTGAAATCTTAACCACCAAGTCTGCTCTTAGCCCATTTTTTTAAGAGCTTTTCTCTGTTAAAAGAAATAACAACAAAAACCCCCCCACGCTAATATTGAATCACAAGGCAGCAAAAGGAGATGCTGCAATCAAGCTTGGACAGGCATAAACAGTGCTAAACTGTTGTGCATAGGATCTTACAGAAGATGACTGAATTTTTAAACCACAACACACTTTGGAAATTCAATATGACTCCAAATGAAAAATAAGATGTCATCTTGGAAAGTACGCAAAAACAGCGAGGTCACACCAATAGCTTTATTTCTAACATGTCAGTTTTCTCAGAACTGCCATAAAACTTAGAGGTACCATTATCTGACAATAATAGAGATGTTCATTTAATTAGTGCCTTCAGGAATTAAGAATACCATTTACTCGACTCACCTATTCTTAATCTTTCAGATACTGCATAAGCTTGCATAATATAAACAACCTGTACTTGTATTTATATCATTTACATCAAGTAGTCTTGCTTTCTCTACAGTCAGTCTACATACTTTTTTTTTTCTTTTAAACTATTTTGTGAATCACAACAAAACATACAGGTTGTGACTTTTTTCACCACATTCTGAAGACTTATGTATGCCAGTATCTAAAAGCAGTTACGTAGCCAGCTTGTGTCTGCTTATACAACTTTCCTAGGCTTTTATCCTTAAAATTATAGGACTTAAAAGAGAGTGAGCCAAGTTAAGCACACTGATGAAGGATCAACACTTTGTAACACAAGCACATATGCTATAAAACTTATGCTCTGTGATTCACATTTACTAAACCACACACGCAGCCAGGAAGAATACTTCTCTAAGACTTTAAGTGTATTTTGAATGAAAAACTATTCCAGATCAGTCCTCAGTTAAACAATGGCTGTGTCTTGTGCTGTAAGATGAAGGGTAAAATTAGGATAATAATGGAAACAGACTCGACTCTTTGGGTGCGTGGCTATGGAGGCCCAACTCCAAAACCCAAACTTATGATTCACACATGATGACATCTTCCAATGAATTAACACCTGAATTGGTAGGGTATCAATGAAAACCTTATTAAAAATTAGTTCTCTCTTTTAATAAATAACACTGTTTTAAAAACACTTCAAGTGATGCAAAGTTGTCCCCATACGTTTTGGTCCTTTCTCCAGGTTTACATCCATTCTTTCTGAGACTGCCCTGCTTCACCCATGACTACTTGTATAAGGAACGGGTCTTTGAAATGACTTTTTTCTTCCAAACATTCAAGTCTGTCTTCCCAACATTTTAAGTAAAATTCTAAGTTAGTCTAAGAGACAGCATTGACATTTTAGAGCAGTAGGTTTCTTTCAGTCAAAGCCTAGCAGGAAGAAGGGAAATAAAAGTCTACTCAAAACTGGAATCCTTAACAGCATGGAGGTGAACATCCATCTAATGATGCACTGGGACAAGCAGGTATTATTTGATCTATAAATGACTCAAACCAGAGAAATGGTTTCTGGCAACAGAACAAAGATTCCTAGCTTTCAGACAAAAATTTCTACCTTTCAAACATTCCTACCTTCGCTTTGGATGACAAGCCACGTAAGTTGAGCCGAGCTGAAGAAAGTATCTGCAAGGCTTCCTGATGATTAGATTTGTTCTCGCTGCATTTTATAGCCACTAGAATCCAAACACAGAAGAAAAGGACCCCAAAACAAAAAAGCATTACCTCTCTAGCAATAATCTTCAAACAACGTTTAACTAAAAATCTTGATACCGTCCATAGACAATTTTTTTAATGTAATATCCCCAAAAAGAAACACAAAGAAAAAGAACACCAAGTTATTTTGAGAAGATAACTCTAAACCCAACATGTATATGTATCCTTCTTAAACGTAAACATCACAGCACAGAGAATGGTCTTACCGAGTCTAAGTTTTGTCCATCTCCTGACTGGCACAGTCAATCAAATTTATGTGATGATTTAAGGACTGAGATGAACTACAGATGCATTTTCACTTGCATTATGAAATTGCTAGACCATGAAATTAATTGATTCCATGTTTACCAGTCATACGGTTACTGACTCACCCAACACAGTTTCTACCTCATTCCAAGTGTATTTTTGTATGCACTGTAAGGATGATGCTGTCTGTTAGAGGACTCCCAATAGTAGGAATAAATATAATGGGTCAAGTATAATATTATTTTGTTACTCAGCTTAATATTTCCTACACTGAATAATAGAAGTTTTTTTCAGGTGGAACATACCGTGTGCAATCTCTATGGCTCCTTTCACCACTTCCTTAAAAGAAGAAACATCTTTCTCCCAATCACTTGATTGAATCTCACATTTATGTGCCTTAGTGAGACACTGCAGTGACTGCAAGGAGGAAAAAAAAATGATCAGTATGTGAGAAACAAACTAGGAGACTAATTTAGTTTTAAGTATCTATGAAATTAATGCTCAATCCAGAAAATGAATGTATCTTTACTATACTGTGAGTTTCCTGTGAGTTGGAGTAGTGTCATTCTCTGCAACGGTAAGCACCAGCTGTAACACAGATGTTCTTCACCAATATTATATCTCAAGTCTGAGAGGCATATAAAGTAACATGTGTCTAATTTTTATCTTTTAAAAATCTGTCTAGACTGATGGATGTGACCCACGCTTGCCAAGTCATCGTAATTAAATGCACATGAAAAAGGGAAAAATACTTGTACTCACACTTTGAACAGCAATTTTGTACCTAAAAAATTTATAACTGAATACATCAAAGCTTTCTTTCTGTATATGTATTCTTGGCGAATAATGTATTTTACAGACACAGCTATTAGCTGCCATGCCGCTCTGGTTCTCAGTGTGAACAGGAAACATAAATGTAAACAATATGGAAGGAGGGTCCCATTAGGAAAAAAAAATGAAAAATTTAAGCAGGAGAAATTAATTTTTGCTTTTGAGTTTTGTTTTCTTTCTACAGCATCAGAAATACGAAGTAAATACCCGCCAGAAGTTACATGGCTTGGTTCAATGACAACTCTTCAATTATCTTTTTGAAGAGTTTAAATACCATATAAAGGAATGAAAAACTTTCAGTGCAGTATATGTACATGAGTGCAATAAAGATTGCTGAACAAATACAGATGAAATCTGGGGGCCCCAGAAGCTTCTACCTTCTCTCTCCCACTGGAGTTCCAATCCCTATGGCACGAGCAACTGAACTGCTCATGCTGCTGTAAATTGCAGTAAAGGTGTGTTAAGTCAAACCAAAGCAAATTAATTTTTTTCATAATAACCTACGTTATAATTGGTGGTAGTTCTGGCCAGCAGAGGCAAGAACTTCCAAGAGAAGGAACAACAATTTTTACAGCAGTCTGATTTCAGTCGGCATGTGTCTGAGTCAGAGCAGCAAATTAGGGGGGTTTTGCTGACAGATGTCAGGAAGGGGAAAGAATTCAAAGTCTTGTGGGCTGTTTGTTTGCACTTCTGGAACCTGGATTTATCCTGGAAGGAAACAGTTATGAGCTGGGGAAAGTTCAAGGAACAGAAGGGTTTCATAGCCTG